GTGTGTTCTGAGAAAAGTTACAAGTGATTGAGTTCTGAAAAAGCAACAAATCTGCAGAAAATCCACCTCGAATGAAGTGAAAAAGCTCAGGCTCTTTCATCTCTGTGTCGAGGTTCCAGATGTACAGAGAAGCCATCTTCTTGCGTTCTTTCTTGCCTAGCGAAGGAAACTTGAGAATGAGAGAGATATCAAAAGGAAATTAGAGTGAAGAAACTTGAGAGAAAGAGAGATATCAAACGTAAATTAGAGTGTGATTTAGAGAGAGATAGATAGTAACAGAATCCAAAACAGAAATCAAGAATTCCAATCTGGTATTTTGTTTTTTTTTTAAAAGAGACATTTTTAAAAGAAATTTAGACCCTTTTAAAGTGTCGTTGAGGAATTTCATCATACACTTGGTGTGCAATGGTTTCGAATTGATTAAAACAAAACAAAAAGCAGAAGCTTGCCTGAGTAGTCGAGCATCTTCTTCTCCGATGATTCAAGCTTCCATCGAACGGCAAAAGAAGCAATACCCCGGAGAATCCCGAGCCGGAGAAATGTGGTGTATTCGAACCTCACCGCTCGGAAGCCGAAATTTCTGCTCTGAAGATACTCGATTAACATCAAGCTCCCCTAATCGCAACTCTTTGTAATAATAAACCCACGAATTTTTTACATAGACGATTCATCTAAGAACAAAATCAGCCACTGGAGAAACGATTTCTCGGGAAACTCTGCAGATTCTCTTGGCTGCTCTGTTTTTTGCTGTGATTTGTAGCTGAAGAGGTTTTTTTGGTTCTTTTTTTTGACATAAATGGCAAGTCAAGCTTGATTTATAGGCGAGAGAAAGCTGTTTACTTTTCACGACTTCGGTTTAAATTTTTAACTTCTTTTTTTGGTCAACCGGTTTAAGTTTTGGTGGAGTCCCAATCAAAGTCAAAGGGACACATAATATTTCTTTTTTTTTTGGTCACAGATATTAACATTTTTTTTTCTTATATAGAGATGGTGGAACTAAACTTTCTTACAAATGTGGAAACAAGTAGAACTAGTGGAAACGTGAACGAAGAACATGTGCTACTCTCTCTAGCCCTGTATCTCAGGAACAGAGTATTTGTCAATGTATCTGCAATAACAAAACTAAAAGAAAGAACAAAGAGAATATGCAAATATCAATATGTTAAAAATTTAATCATAGAAAATGGTTCGTAACATAGTTAAAACTTGACGAGACCATAAGTATACACGTTGGAGTGGTGAATAAGTAGCAAGACCAAGTCAAAAGACTTGTCTCTTTGTTTTTTTTTTTTTGAAACCATCGTGAAGTGAATATAAAAAATGGTAAATGTAAGTGAGTCAAGAATGTCGTGACC